GATGAAGAACATTGCCTAGGGCTAATGTTGTGCTTATAACATTTTAATTTTTTTATGGTTTGAATTTGTAGTTTTAATCTTTATTTTATTTAATACTGTTTTAAGGGGGGGAGGGATTGTGATTTGGGATATATTGTATGGTTTTTATTGTTGTAAGCTGCCCTGATTGGGTTTCCAAAGGGTGGGATATAAATATTTTATTATTATTATTATTATTATTATTATTATTATATATTATTATTTTCAAACTGTCAGTGCTTGAATCCATGGATATGGAGGGCTGACTGAAAGTTGTTCTGTACTGTAGAATATTTCATAGAGATAGACCCCCCCCCGATGAGTCGAGAGGGGTTTTATGTTGCGCTGGCCAGTTAAATGATGCCGGACACATGATTGGCTGGGTGGGGGGGAAGTCCCGCCCCCTCCTCTGCCACCCAGCCAATCAGGAAAGGGATCCCCTAGGGTCTCTACTCGCTGGTGGTCTCGCTTATCGTCAGATTTTAAGGCTATAAAGCCCACTGGCTGCCACGTGGGAGCAGCCATTTTAGAACTGCAGACAAGCGACCCAAACCTGCCCTTTGCTAATAGATGCTTAAGTAATTATTCTCAGGCTGTGGCTAGCCGCCTTATGGGACAGGGAGGATATTTCCCAGAGTTATTGTAACCTGGGTTTTTCGCGCTCCCTGAGAATAAAACGGGGTCAGCTTGTACTTTTGGCTTGTATTGTTATGGCTATACGCAATTGTTATTCTCTATCGGTCCTTTTGCATTGGGGTCAAGTTAAGTTATTTTGTCACAACTGGGTGTCAGGGTCCTGGTTAGGATATGTTCTATCAAGAGTTAAAATCCTTTTGGCGGGCAGGGACCCTCCCCTTGGGATAATTTAGTTAATTGGAATTAAGAAATTGGTTCAAGTTGATGTGGACAAAAAGTATACGTCAAGGGGTTAACAAAAGTTTTTCTGTGTTGTCATCAAACAAGTGGATGATGTCATAGACAATTTATGTCATGAGTTAAATTGTGACATCATTTATGGTCAGGGGGAGATGATTTATTTGGTTGAATGTTTAAATGGATTTTGATGTTCTTGACACATGTTGTAAAGGGATTGG